TTCAGGAGTACAGCATACACTAAAGACCCCCTGAGACATCTAGTCTTCTGGATTAAGTGAGTACTGGCTTTAATTACGATTGGATTAGCTAAACTACAGCCTGTAAGTCATTGTCAAAATTCCACTTTCTGCATATATAGAAAAAATTCCTTCTGTTCATTACTACTCTAGAGGATCCTGACTAATACAACACATGTAAATGAGAGTCTCTTCAGATGTTGGATATGATAGCAAAAACTAGATACCATTAACTTAAAAGTCAACACACACACATTTTAGCAGTGGCTACTGACTGGTGCTAACTTCTCTGACTAATATTCAAATCTAGATAAATATTTTCAGAGAGATACATATTTCCAAAATTATAGAATAGAGAACGTATTTGAAAGTATATCTATAATTGTGTCCTGCAAAGTAAGGAGAAAATAATGCTTGCTCTCTCTTTTTTTTTTTTTGATCCAGTATAATTTCTAAGCTACCTACAGCAGAAATGTCAGAGGACCTGGCAGCTGAGAGCTGGGGCTTCACACAGATCACCATCAAGACATTTTCCTACAACTGGACCATCAGTAACTTCCATTTTTCTCTGGAGGGATTGAGCGAAGCCATTAGCAGTCCAGTGTTCTCATCAGAAGACAATGACCAAACCAAAAGGTGTTTGAAATTATACCAGAATGGGTTTGATGAAGAAAGCAGAGATTACCTTTCAGTTTACCTTGCAGTGCTCAGCTGTCCAAAGAGCCCCATTTGGGCAAAGTTCCAGTTTTGGATCTTAGATGGCAATGGGGAGAAAAGAAATAATGTGGAGAGCCAAAGTGTCAAGAGTTTCCTGCCAGACCAACATTGGGGATTCAAAAACTTCATCCCTCAAGAGTTCCTCTTCTCCCAGGCCCAATGGCTACGACCTGTGGCAGGCTCACACTCTTTTGCAAGGTGAGTACGGGCCAAGATGTCGTCACCCTTTCTCGACAGACATTTGCAATCAAGATTCCAAGGTGCTCTTTGACAGATGAGGTAGGAGAGCTGTGGGAGAATTCCCGATTCACAGACTGCTGCCTCTTCATATCTGCTGAGGAATTCTGGGCTCACAAGGCCATCTTAGCACCTCGGTCTCCAGTTTTCAGAGCCATGTTTCAACATGACATGGAGGAGATACGAAAGAACAGAGTTGAGATCAAGGACCTGGAGCCTCAAGTCTTCAAGGAGATGATGGGATTCGTTTACACAGGGAAGGCACCAAACCTCCACACCATGGTCACTGGTGTTCTGACAGCTGCTGACATGTATGGCCTGGAGCACTTGAAGCTCCTGTGTGAGGATGCCCTCTACAGGGACCTCTCAATGGAGAATGCTGCTCACATGCTCATCTTGGCTCAATTCCACAGTGCAGAGCAGCTAAAAATACGGGCACTGGATTTCATTACAATTCATGCTTCTGAGATCTCTGAGACCTCGGGTTGGAACATCTTGGTGGATTTCCATCCCCACTTGCTGACTGAAGCATTCCATGCCCTGGCTTCTGCACAGAAGCCTTTCATGGAAACCACTCTCAAACACCTGAAGAGATAGATGTTAGCAACTGCTTCCTTGTGACCTAAACCTGTCTTCCTGAAGCAACAGCCACTGTTTTTACCAGAAACTCCCAGGTAGACTATGTATGGCTGTTGAATTCACCATCTATCTGGTGAAGCACACCGTTGTGGCTCAGGATTTGAAACAGCTGGAAGAATGTGGAATGCTGGTTGGGTGGACAGCCCTGGACTCTGGTTTATTCTACCTCATATCTACTTTGTTTTGCTACTGGTTTGATTGTTGTCCCATGCATTGGAAACTGAGATTGAACTTAGATGTTTGCAACAAACACATCTCAACAGGGCATTTTTTAGGCTGAAACATGTCTGGATTAAATTGATCAGAACCCATGACTGATGGATCACAACAAAGGGGAAAACAAATATGAACCTGTAATGATATGAGAAGGGACAAAGAAGACTTTTTTATAATCTCAGTTTGTACGGACAGGAGTGATAACTCAGTTGGTAAGAGCACCTGCTGCTCTTGCAGAGGACACCTGGACGCTTCCTAGCACACAGAGAAGTGGTTTCAGCCATCTGTAACTGGACACACACAGGATCTGAGGCACTTTCATGCCTCCACGGGCACATGCATCTCTGTGTTCCAAACCTTACAAATAACATATAAAATGAATAAAAATATCGAAATCATTTGTGGGTTTATCTGATTTGTATGTTCAGGAAAGTCAAGTTTAGTGCATCCAGCTCTGCTCAGCTCTGGAGGTTTGTACAGACTCCTCAGTACCCCTGTCCTACTAAAACCCTTTCTCCTTTTTCTTAGCACTCAGTGTATACTGCATCAACTCCTTTTTTCTTCATTACTTATTTACTTAATTAATTAATTGGCTTTACATCATGATGTGAAATTACCCTACTTCCTCCTCTATAAGCCGTTCCCGATGCCACCTCCTCCCTTTCTTCCCCACCCACTTTATTCCAGAGAAGGATAGACGCCTGATGGATAGCAATCCCCTTGGAAGATTAAGTAGGACTGGCCACATCTCATATTGAGGCTAGACCAGGCAGTCCAGTTGGAAGAAAGTGATCCAAAGGCTGGCAACAAAGAACCTCTACTCTCATTGTTAGGGAATCCCTAAGATGACAAAGCTGCACATCTGCTCCATGTGTACAGGGGGTCTGGGTCCTGCCTTGCATGCTATTTGTTTGGTGGTTCAGTCTCTGTGAGTCCTCAAAGACCTAGGTTATTTGATTCCCTGTGCCTTATTGTGCTGTCCTTGTCCCTTCTGGCTCCCTCAAACCTGCTCCCTTCTTACACAAAACTGTAAATAGCCTATTAATTGACTGTAGGTCTCTTTACCTGTTTCCATCTGCTGCTGGATGAAGCCTTTCTGAAGACAGGCTCCTATCTGCAAGCACATCAGAGTTTCATTCACAGTGTCAGGGGGTGGCTCTCTCATGGGGTGGGTCTCAAGTTGGTCTACTCACTGGCTTGCCATTCCCACAATCTCCACTCCACTTTAAGCCCTACACTTCTTATACAGGAGATACATTTCAAACAGAAGGTTTTGTGAGTGAGTTGGTGTCCCCCCTCCATCCACGGGTAGTTCCACCTGGCTACAGGAAGTTGTCAGTGAAGACTCCATACACTGCACTACTATATATCTCTGTTAGGGTCAACCCTATAGCCTTCTGGTAGCTTCCCCTGTCACAGAGAGGTCTACTGCCCACACCTATTTCCATCCTATGCACGGGTCCATCCTCTCCCTTCACCCTCCTTCCTCACTCTCTCTTTCCCTGATCTCCATTCCGGCTAAATCTCCACACCCCTTTTCACCACTTCCTTCATTCCATCTACTTCAGATGTCTCATTTTCCCATCTTGAGTGGGATTCAAGTGCCATTTTTGGGGTCCTCTTTGGCTTTTTTGGGCTTGTGGATTATAGCATGGTTATCATATACTCTACGGGTAATAATTATGTTGTTTAATGTTAATTTTTTAATAGTTTTTATGTTTTAGTCATACAGTAATTATTCCAGCTGACCCTGGCACATCAAGTCCCACTAGGACTAAGCATATGGTCTCCCGCTGAGGCCACACGGGCAGCCTGCTATGGGAAAAAGATTCAAAGACAGGTAACAGGACTAACAACAGCACCATGCTCCAATTGTTAGGGGGAAATAAAAATAAGTTGCACATTTGCTAAATATATGTGTGTGGGAGGGCTAGATCCAGCCCATGCATGTTCTTTGGTTGGTGGCTCATCTCTGTGAGCTC